GAGACTTGCCAGACAGAGGGAATTTTACTGCAAAAGAAAACCCTAGTCTTAGTAACAGGGAACAAGAAATACCAAGAAGGTGAGAATTCACAGGATGAAACCATAATAAAATATGTCACCAAAAGTGAATGTTAGGTTGCACATGTTTGAGAAACTGAGTTTAAAAAATTGGGCTTGATTAAGTAAAAATTCAAGTAATCATATCAGGCTAAAAAGGTTAACAAGACCCCAAAGAGAAAAAAAAATTCATTCCTCTGGGGCTTCCCTGGTGGCGCAGTGGTTGAGAGTCCGCCCGCCAATGCAGGTGACACGGGTTCGTGTCCCGGTCCGGGAAGATCCCACATGCCGCGGAGCGGCTAGGCCCGTGAGCCATGGCCGCTGAGCCTGAGCGTCCGGAGCCTGTGCTCCGCAACGGGAGAGGCCACAACAGTGAGAGCCCTGCGTACTGCAAAAACAAACAAACAAATAAAAATAAAAAAAAATTCATTCTTCTTTCAGCATGTCAAACTCATATTTGAGATATCAGCCACCCAAAGGGCCCTGGGCCCTGAGGATGATGCAAATACTACTTCTCAAGATGGATACACTCAGTGTCTACATCAGCCAACTCTTGAGTCACGAGTCAGAGAACTCTTTCTTTAACTGAAAGTGCCATTGCTATGGACAGTTCAGCTTTATAAAGGTGTGACTAGTTTCTTTTGATCAGCATGAAATAAACATATCTGCAGGTATATAAATATGTGGGACCCACAGTTATGTGTTCTCCTTCTTTATTCAGGGCCTTCATTTGTCCCATCCAAGACTGTTTAGAATCCCAATACAGAGGTCAAATAGGTTTAAGCTTAAATGGACACATTTTCTGTATTTAAACAAAAAAAAAACATAACTGACTAAATTGAAGTAATTAGTTGTATTAAATTATATAAAATATGTTGTATTAGGAATCTGAAAACTAATTTTCTGTTTTCATTTCTTTGTCATAGAAGGCATTTTGGTTCTATTTGTTGTATTAACAACTGGAATAATGGGAGAAGGCAGGTGGAGGTACGTTTAAGTAGGTTCAACAAAGGTTATATTTTAACCGTGAGGAGTTGGTCTTTGCTCTCCAAACCTCATGCGTGATTTTTCCTATAATTTCTGTGTCATTCCTCATCCCTCTGTCATTTGTAAGGGTCTCAGTTTTTTGTTTAATTTTTGGCTGCATTGTGTATTAAAGGAAAATAGGAGATAAGGCAGTAAGAGGGCTTGAGGGCAGAAACAGAGCTGCTTGTGTCATCCACAAACCCTTAGGGGTTGGGGTAGGGTCTCTGAGCAGAAAAGTGAATATTGTCTATGCTTCAACTCTCTTACCTGTGTGAAAATTAATAAAGGAAAACCCTGACTAAGGGAGGCTTGATAGGGAGTCTCAAGCAGACCATCAGTGTAAATTACAGGAAGAATTGTCAATTACAGGCCCCAGGGAAGAATCATCAACAGGAAAGAATCATCAATTACAAACCTCAATAGGAAAAGATACACACATTGCATCTCTTGTAAGTAACCGATTACCCTAGCAACTCAAGCCAGTGAGAAACCATCACAACCCTGAACTCTCAATTTCCTCCAAAGGACTTTGGTTCAAAACAACCCTTCCCAACATCCTTCTTTTACTCTATAAGGTTCCTCTCCTTTGTGGGACTTGCCTATGGCTTCTGCTACAGCTTGCATGTCCTGAATTGCGATTTCTCTTGCAATAAACCCTCTCCCAAATAAACCCATTTTGCTGGCAAAATAATTGTTCTGTTTTTAAGTTGAAAACCTCTTAAAGGACAAAACAAAGCAAGTAGGTCTAGAAATGGCCATATATTTCATGATTCAGATACATAAATTTTCATAAACCTCTTTTGTAATGTCCACAAACCTGATGTCCTCCACTGCTCTATCAAGATACTTCTACCACCACCCCTCACTTTGCTTTTCTTCAACATGGTCAGGCTGAAATAACATCTACTTGCCTCAAAGAAGGCCTTCAAATATAATTGTAAGACTGCAAGAAAATATTTAACTTAAAAAATCTGTTAACTTTGTTGAACATATAGCAGATCTGCAGCAGAAAGTAGATGTTTCTTTTTCTGTTAATTTGGCAAATATCTATAAAGTCTCATCTTGGCTAGATGTTGGTGTTTCAAGGCGAATATTACATTTACCTGTGTTCAAAGACTTAACCCATCCATAGAGGAAATGACACAAAACAGATCATCATCACATCATATTTTTCCCCTGGTGCATGTGCAAGCCGCCTGGAGAACATGCCAGCCAGTGACTTCCCTGTGCTCCTTTTACTCACCCTGCACATCTCTCCACTACAGCTTGTGCCTCATTACACGCAGGTGACAGTGCCACTGAGTGCAGGTATGAGCTTCGGAGTCTAATAGTTTCTGCTTTGAATTCATTCTCTTCCACTTCCTGAAGCAAGCCACTTGGCCTCTCTGAGTCTCACTACTCTTCATCTATATAATGTGGATAATATTGGCCTACTGAAAGGATCATCGGTGAAATTAAGCAGTTGAAGACCCAACATTCCTATACTAATGACTGAATTAGGGCAGGTACCCGTTATTTGGTGATGATAATTGATCTAACCTTTGATTCCATGCTCTCTCTCTCTTATTTCTTCATTTAGTCTGTTTGTCATCCTGGGGTTTCTCCTGCTTCTGATGGACTCCTTTTCCCTCATTATAAAAAATATACATGCCTCTCACCATGGAGAGAGGAATCTTTGCTATTTTTCACTCTAATTATTTCTTTCTTTCACATCCAGAGTTCTCAAATGATTGGTATCCACTTGCTGGGTTTATTTCCTCAAAACATTCTTCATGTAAGCCGTGGAAATGCAGTTTTCACCTTCACTAATCCCTAGAAACTGTACTCTTAAAGGTCACTCATGGCCTTCTAGGCATCAAACTCAGAAACTTTCATTTCATTTTCATTGCTGACTTTTAACAGTGTTAACTAATTCCTCCTTCCAACTCTCAACTCTTATCATTCACTTCTGATCGGATTTTCCTCCAATCTGTTATTCCTCATCTGCATTCTTGGGTGATTTTCCTAAATTCTCCTACCCCAGTACTGTGAGAACTTTGTAAGTTTCTTGCTCACGGTTAATACTCTTCTTTCTGTAGTTTTCTTTTCTTGAAGGGTTTTTGATTTCAAACTACAGTAATATTATCAACTATATGTAGCTCACCCTCAATTCTACATTTACCTCCTAGACTTCCCTCCAAAGCTCCAGATGCTTTTCCCAACAATTTAAAAAATATTTCATAAATATCTCACGAACATCTCCATTCGTCTCCCCACATGCTGTATTCCTTCCTGACTTCTTCATGTCTGACAATGGAACTAAAAGTTCTCCCACTCTTCTAACACATCATGATTGATTTTTTTCTTCTTCCTCACCACTCCATAGAATAAATGCTCATTTATTTAAGCCTCAAATAAATAAATAAATCTTTGCTTTAATTACATATCTTCCATCTTTCATTTAGTGTTCATTCACACTTATGTTTGCCCTCATCAATCCCACTTTATGAAGCGTAATGGCTTCCTTGTAAATTTCCCTGACGTAAGCTCTACCCACTCCACACATCCTACACACTGCCTCCACGTTAATCATGCAAAACAAATTTCTTCACATCACTTTCATGCACAAACAGATCTATGATGTCTAAATGTATACAGAATTAAGTTCATTCTGAGCAGAAGAATTCCCACACAATCCACAATCTTGTCCTGTCTTATTTCTAAAATTTATTATCTGTAGAATTATTATACTATGTTTTACAGCAAAGTATTTTATTAAAATAGCTGAAATATCTTCTGTTGGTATGCTACTTGATTAATTTTAACCTAAGACTATTCATTTTTTTTTGAAAGCCCGCATACAGCAAAAAAAAAAAAAAGGTATTTAAACATTTGCTTCCCTTTCTCTTTTGTAAATAAACAGTCAAGCATTCACACTCTCATTTCCTTCATTTTGAGCCCATATAAAAGGGTAGATTTTTAACACCAGCAAGTTGAAAGGAGAAAAATGAAAAGAACAAGGTACAATCACAATCATCTACCCCACTGTATCTCACTGAGGCTAAAGAGACCCAAGGCTATCAGAAAGACAGATGGCCCCCAGGTCCTCAAAGTGACCCAGCTATTCCTAAGCCCTCAGTTCTATTAAAAGTTGCCTCCAATATTATTTATGACTGAATTGTTGAGGGGGGGGTTACATGAGAAAAACATGTTTGCTACTTTATTTACGCCAAGGCAGAGATCATATGACTACGAATACCCATACTACCTCAGTACTGCTACAAGTAATAGTTCACAGAGTACTTTCTCCATAAATTACCTACATGTGAGCTTAAATGTACTTGTGAGTTGTATAATATTACCTGTTTCATATGTAAAAGTTTGTCACTAAACCCACATCACATAGCTGGTAAATAAAATCAGTTTTCAAACCTAGATTCTCTGATTCCAGATCTTTTCACAAGCCCCTGCCTCTTTTCAATATTTCTTTTTATAATAGATTTATACATGTCATCATAATGCATCTAGTTGACATATTTAAGGTAGTTTTTGTAAGTTTCCTACCAAGCTTTTCTTCACTGTTTATCAATTTACCTGTCATTGTTATCTACCATCCTTCCCTTGCCCTAGAAACTTAGGCAAGTTGGTAAAGATGTGCAGCTCCTAAAATTGTAATGCATTATCTTCAGGCTTTAACTGGGCCTCCCAGGGACAACGTCAAGTCCTTATGAAGGTGCTGTCCTGTTCTCTGATGCAGAATGGATACAGTGTATATCAGGATGAAGCCTCTCATCTTGGCCCATGAGTGATGCGAAACATCTGACTAAGGGTGGCCAATTGTATATAGTTTGTATTGATAAAAGTTATTTTTATGGTTCTGGGATTCAGTAGATTCTGTTTTCTGTCTCTCTGCAGGTTAATAATCCTCACGTTTTTAAATGGGAGCAGATAACCATACTTTGGTGAGAGAATTCATTCTCCTTGGCCTGTCCAGTGACTGGGACACTCGGGTTGCTCTCTCTGTCCTGTTCTTGGTTATGTACCTGGTGAGAGTGCTGGGGAACTTCCTCATTATTATTCTGATCAGACTGGACAGCCAACTCCACACTCCCATGTATTTCTTTCTCACCAACCTCTCCCTTGTTGATGTCTCCAATGCCACAAGCATTGTCCCTCAGATGCTGGTGCATTTTCTCGCAGAACATAAAGGAATCCCATATGTGAGCTGTGCAGCCCAGTTATTTTCCTCCCTGGGCCTGGGTGGGATTGAGTTAGTTCTACTGGCAGTGATGGCCTATGACTGCTATGTGGCTATGTGTGACCCCCTGAGATACTTGGTCATCATGCATGGAGGGCTCTGTACTAGTTGGCCATCACATCCTGGATCAGTGCCTCTGTCAGCTCTCTCATGCAGACCACCATCACCTTTCAGTTGCCCATGGGCACAACAAGTATATTGATCACATATCCTGCGAACTCCTAGCTGTGGTCAGGCTGGCCTGTGTGGACACCTCCTCCAATGAGATCGCAGTCATGGTTTCTAGTATTGTCCTGCTGATGACACGTTTCTGCTTGGTTCTCTTGTCCTACATCCAGATCATCTCCACACCCTCAAGATCCAGTCCACAGAGGGGAGAAAGGAAGCCTTCCACACCTGTGCCTCTCACCTCGCAGTAGTTGTCCTGTGCTATGGCATGGCCATTTTCACTTACATCCAACCACGCTCCAGCCCTTCTGTCTTTCAGGAGAAGTTGATCTCTCTCTTCTATGCCATTTTGACACCCATGCTGAACCCCATGATTTACAGTCTGAGGAATAAAGGAGGTGAAGGGGGCCTTTCAGAAACTACTAGGGCAATTATCTGGATCAACGTCAAAACTGGCAACTTGATGAATCATGAGCATCACTTAGAGAAAAGAGCTTTGCTTGTATGCTTTCCCACCCAACTCAGATATGAAGCATTGTTACTGCATTGCCCTGGCAACCAGGAAGGAGATGACAAAATGTGTACTTGTGGTACTGGGTAGGAGGCTGAGTGATTGGGTTGGGGTGTGGGATGTAAGGGTGTTTTTATGTCACAGCAGCATGTTCAGAGAAATTAAACCCTGCTGTAATAGAACTTCCCACTGTTAACCACTCAGTATCCATTCACATGGCCTCAGAGTATTTGAGGAAAATATCATTTATTGTTTTTGATAGCAGCATGAAAAATTGTTGTAATCATTGACCCATTCTTGGATCGTACCTTGGAACACTGATTTTATTCAACCACATTTTAAAGAGGTTATTGTATTTCCATTGGGAACAAAATGCATTTTCATATTTGAACACTCACTTAAAATATTGTGTGGCATATATAGTCACGTTCATTAATTGTGTGAGACGCTATCCTAAGGAGGGCACTGCTATCAACGCTGATTAAAATGTTTTTGTGCATGACCTACCGCATGTGGGTATACAGACTGTGTCTGAGTAATGGAAATAAATGAGAGGAGAAACATCGACCAAAGTCATATTTTACCATGATAAGGATATAATCGAGGGTTGTTTGTACACAATGACATTATTTAAGAAAAATATGAGATTCAGTTACTGCTAATTAGCATATGAATAATTTAATAAGAAAACTATTGCATGTATATTGGGTACCATTCAAAAGGTAAAATTGTAATTTCTGAAAATTCAGCAAACTTTCTTTTCTCTGAGATCTTGGGAAAAAAATAAGCAAATAAACAAGGAAATAAATGAATACAGTGTTAAGACATAGTTAATCTAAGAAAAGCAGTTTTCTGGGAGAAGCCAGTGAACGATAATACAGCTTTGGTTTTGTGTTATCAGGATAGGTCAGTCTGCTCTGCAGATGTTATTCTCAAGTCTCCACATTAAAGGCCTTCTTGTATTCCCCTCCCCATCACACACACACACACACAGACACCAAAACCCTACTTAATCTCTGTAAATCTTGTGAGCTGGCATTGTCTGTGAGTGTACCTTGTCTCTGAGGATAAACCTAAATAAGGTAAAAGAGGGGAAAGAAATGATTACACAAGAGATAGGGAAGGAGACAAAAAATATGGTAATAGTGGGTCCTCTCACTCTCTTCAAGGAGTATAAAAGAGGCACTCTTCTTTTTTTTGGTCTCATTATTAAGTCAGTTGATTGGCTTTTGGTTGATTTGCGTTTGGGCGTTGGTGATCAGAAGTTGAAGGGTTTCCACCAGCACCTATTTTCTCTGTGAAATAAGATGGAGTACCCGTGGCTGAGAGTACAGGGGAAGGAGGAAGAGATACAGGAGTGAGACTTGAGAATGGTGCAGGTTTTTTGTTTTTTTTTTTGGCTGTGTTGGGTCTTCTTTGCTGCACTTGGGCTTTCTCTAGTTGTGGTGAGCGGGGGCTACTCTTCGTTGCGGTGCGCGGCCTTCTCATTGCAGTGGCTTCTCTTTTTGCGGAGCGCGGGCTCTAGGCACACGAGCTTCAGTAGTTGCAGCACATGGGCTCAGTAGTTGTGGTGCAAGGGGTCTAGGGCATGGGGGCTTCAGTAGTTGTGGCACATGGGCTCATTAGTTGTGGCTTGTGGGCTCTAGACCACAGGCTCAGTAGTCGTGGTGCACGGGCTTAGTTGCTCCACAGCATATGAGATCTTCCCTGACCAGGGCTCAAACCCGTGTCCCCTGCATTAGCAGGCGGATTCTTAACCACTCCACCACCAGGGAAGTCCGAGAATGGTGAAGGTTAATAGTCCACATGGGTATAGACAAATGTGCCCTTTTTACCTGTGGACATCACTGAGCCTAAAGTATCTCTGAATTTCATCTCAGTGTCTTCAATTACAAGGTCACAAAGGTCATATTTTTCCTCTGATTTGACCAACGTTATCTTTGTTCTCAGCCTTCTCTAAAGCAGAGTTACAGTCGATCATTTTGTAGGCATTGACTTTGTTGTAGACAGTGCTTTTGGCATTGTGGGGTATCAAAGTTGTGTTCAGGTATAGCCGCTACCTCAAGAAATTTACAGTTTTCTAGGGCAGGGGTTGGGAAACTGTTTCTGTATTAGGACAAATAGAAAATATTTTAGACTCTGTGGGCCATACATTCTACATCACAGCTATTCAGCTCTGCCATGATAGCACTAAAATAGCCATAGATAATACATAAAAAAAGAATGAATGTGGCTGGTAGCAATAAATCTATATGGACACTGAAATTTTAAATTTGAATTTTATATAATTTTTACATCATAAAATATTCTTTTTATTTTTTCAACGATTTAAAAATATAAAAATATTCTTGTGGGCCATGCAAAAACAAATGGCAGGCCAAATTTGGCTTTTGGGCAATAGTTTGCTACACCATTATAGGGGAAATAGAACAAAAGTGCAAAATTATAACACGAGGTATGCGCATAAAGAGCCCTGATACTCAAAGGAAGAAAGGGTTCATAAAGAGTCCTGATATTCAAAGGAAGAAGGGATTCTTTTCTGCATGTAGACTGTTATAATGGTGAAGGCTTCTAAGAGAAAATGAAGTGGTTCTCACTTCAGTTTGCATTTCAGAAAGCATCTCATTTCTCATAGTCATTTAGGTCCACTTACCCAAGATCTAAGGACTCCATACTAATGGGTGAATGGAGGACGTGAATCACACACTGAGCATAATTCTTAGATATCGGTTGAATATTAATTGGATGATTTGTATTACTTCTTAGCCCTAGTAGCATTTAACTACAGTGACAGGTCTTTTGGGGACACATTCCCTTACATACAAGCTGAAGCTTCACTCTGTACTGTCCGTATCATGATGTCTGGGACCATCAGGTTCTCCCCTATTCATCTCACTAAAATTCAGGATTTTGAGATCTAAGCCTATTGTATAAAATATAGGTCCTATAAAATATACACAACCAAGTCAGACTGATGTGGTTTGGTTGTCCTTCTAGTTCCAAATTTGGGCTAGGCTACTCTCAGTGAAATCTGATCCTCAGTATTATGAGGTTGTTTTCCATCTCATGGAAAACATCTCACCACTGTATGCATACTATTTCCTGACTGCTTTGAGCCTTCTACATCTTCCTCATCGAAGTATAGCAGATAACAAAACAAGAAGTGCGATCCTGGACAGTTAAAACCTCTCTAAGAATCAGCTCTCTTTTTCATAACTTACAAAGAATAATAAGCTTCTCATGAGAAATTTGAGAGTATTGAGTGAAATATATGTAAAGCAGTTAGTAAAATGGCTGACACACAAAAAGCACTTGATAACTGTTTGCTATTATTTTTGTTTTTTTTCTCATAAAGTGTTCTACCCATTTTCCCCCACCTACTGTCCTCCCTGACCTTCTGGCAAACATTTTAGACCAACTCACTAGTCCATCCCAAACAATCTAAGGGGTCTGACAGAAGAGTAGATGCCAGAATAGTGTCTAGAAAACAGACCTCTAATTTTTGGCAACAAAGAACAAATTCTGTCTCATGCATTCTCATTGTAGGAGGTATCATCCCCCAAGCGGTGAAAATTGGTCTTCATGGGCGGGGGCCAAAAATATCTTCGATATTGGGCTTCCCTGGTGGCGCAGTGGTTGAGAGTCCGCCTGCCGATGCAGGGGACATGGGTTCGTGCCCCGGTCTGGGAAGATCCCACATGCTGTGGAGCGGCTGGGTCCGTGAGCCATGGCCGCTGGGCCTGCGTGTCCGGAGCCTGTGCTCCGCAACGGGAGAGGCCACAACAGTGAGAGGCCCAAGTACCGCAAAAAAAAAAAAAAAAAAAAAAAATATATATATATATATATATCTTCGATATTGCAGTGGCTTATGGTCCTTCAAAGGGACCATATAAACAGATATACAGAATATCTACGGTATTAAATTTTCATGGGGTGGGTGATTAAGAAAAAGATGTCTAAAAAGTTTTTTTTGAGGGATGATGATGAATAAAGGGCTGAGACAAACTGCTCCATCTGTAGAGAACTATTCCTTGTTTGGGCACCAATATTCACAAGTGAATCATAAGCACAGAGGTCAGAAGACATATAGTCCTAGAGTTAATTTGTTATAGGCTTGATGTCTGCTTCATCTGTTTTTTACTATCTTAGTCTATAACCCTGGGCCTTGACTACCTTGACCTACTCTATCTAAACAAATCCTTCTGCCCAGTTGGTTTCTACCCCTACTTTTGGCCTTTACAGCCATAAAGGTATGGACAACTGAAAGTTGAGTGAATTCACCCTGCTGTGGGACCTGAGTCACTGGAGACCCTGTTCAACTTCTGGCAAAGTACCTGGTGGCAGTGCTGTGATACTTCCTCATCAAGCCCCTATGAGCAGTCCGGACACTTGATCACCTGTTCTATATATTTTTATTTAGTGACTGTGCTTTGTGGGGTTCTGTTACAAAGTAGTTCTGTTTCACAGATGCTTATTCACTTTTTGGGAGCCAAGAAGTCTAGAGACTTTTAGAGGGGGTATTAGAATTCCCATCAGTTATATAAATATAGGATTTAAGTCAGATTTATAAAAATCTGAAAGAGCAGAGTAATATTAGCTAGCTCTGTGCTACACTTACGAATTTTAAACTTTAAAGGTCTCCTAAATTCTATAAGCTTATATTAATGCCTTTCCTTAAAATACAGATATTATTATCCACATTGGGGATAAAATATGAGTTTCAAGTATATGTAACTCATACAAGCTCAGACAGCTAGTAATCAACACATACAGCCGAGATTCAGTTCAGCCTTGGCTTGTCTGAATCCAAAGGCGTATCCCTTTTGGGATACCACAGGGAGTTTTGGCACTTTAAGTGTGCTGTGTGTGGATCAGCGTTCAGCTGAAGATGTGAAAAACCCACAGAGCCATAGTGTTACCATTATAGTTAGGACCGTTAGAGTTTCAAGTGAT